ACAGCCTCGGCTATGCGTCCCGCCCGAAGGAAACGTGAATCTCCTTCCCCCCCTTCAGGATGATGGATGAGGACGGAGCGCTGGGCCCTGAGGACTGGGGTTCTATGGAGTGTGAAGCGGCATGGAGGGTTGGGGAGGAGGGGCAACCCGGGGACAAGTTACTAAAGGACAAATTTGATCTGATTAGGTCTTGGAAATCTTATTTTTCAGGAAAAAAGTGAAAAATGTTCAGCCACGCAGTGTAATGATTCCCCTTTCCTCCAGGTTATATACACCAATTTAGACATTTTTCCTCAATAAAGTGACACATATTTGCTGTTTGCACAATAAAGATCCACACTGTTCTGTGTGATTCAATTGTCACTTCGGTTAAAGTCATGCCAGGGAGATGATAAAACGAACACAATGGTCAGGTATCACACTGCACGACACTTTTGCATAAAACAAATGACTTTAGCTTTTTGACACATTTCTCTGTAGTGTCTTGTTGGCTGTGTGCAGGTGAAGATACTTCATCTTTCAATTAAGTTAAGGTCCTGTCATTAGTTGTCAGTTAGTCTCTGTATCTTCTAATCCCAGCACAGGATCAGCAAATTACATGTGTCTGTTCTGCTCAAGTTTTATGCCAGTTTCCAATCCAATCCCTTTTCTGTAAAACACATACAAAGTTCACTAAAAGGAACAAAAGACGGACCAAACAACTTTCACACTTGGTTAAAAGCCAAAAAATAAAGTAGATTTTTTTCTCAAAGATTCAAAAGTGTGTTTGGGACATTTTAATATTTGGGGAGTGCTCCACAGTTTGCAGACACTTCAACACAGAACCAAAAGAAGCAGCCGATTCACCCCATCAGAGACCTTGAGAGGGTGTAGATTTAAAAAAGGTCAGAGATGTACTGGGGTGCTGTTAAAAGGTGTGAAAACAAAGGATAAAATCTCAAAATAAATCCTTGAATGGACAGAGAACCAGAGGAGAGAAGTGAGGTGATGTGGTCTTGTTTTTTAGGGCCAGTTAAAAGACGAGCAGCAGTATTTTGGACTTATAGTAGACGTGACAGTGAGGCCAGGCTAACATCACAGTCTAAACGAGTAGACTTAAAAGCATGAAGCACTGGATCCAAACACAATGATCTCTGTGTTGTTTTCATTAAATTTTAAAATTTAAGGATATCCAGGCTTTGATGTCCACGAGGAGGTCCAGTAAGCGTGTCAGTGAGCTGTTGCTGTTTCCTATCGGTAGTAGGTAGATTTGAGTGTCATCTGCATATAAGTGCAAAGAGATACCTTTTTTTTTGTTTGTTTTTTTCGTTTTAAACCAAAGCCAGGGGAAGGCGGTGAAGTGCAAACAGTATGGGCCCAAGAATAGGACCTTGGGGTACACCACTCGGCAGGTGTGCAGAAGACAATGCACAATCACTGAGTTTTACCTCAAAAATTCTCTTTGCCAGATAAGGCTGGAACTAATGTAATGCTGTGATCAACTGTATCAAAATCAGCAATTAGATCTAAACAGAGTAAAATGGTAAAATTACCAGAATTAGTGGTCAATAAAAGATCATTAAAAACTCTTAAAATGGCCTCTGTACTGTGAAAACTCTACTGTATTTCAATAAGTTTTTCTTTCCCCTGTAACTTGCTAAATGCTGTAAAATGTTATACTCATGGTAGATTAAGGTGAGATCTTACACAAAAGGGCTCAATCTTATTCCATCTTAATGTCAGGTCTTTGTGAGTATAATGAAAAGTATGGTCTACACCTGCTCTTTAGCAAAGCGTCTTGAGATAACATTTGTTGTGAACTGGGGCTGTATGATAAAAACCAGGTTACAGATGAGATTTTCATCCCAATATCAGACTTTGACTATGACCTTGTTATAGCATAAGTTAAAGAAATTTGAACTTTGTCCACACTGAGATGTCTGCAATTTTCATTACACAAACGCAATTTCACTACTTTCTGTAGTGCTGTTGTGTGCAAATAGTTCATTGCTGTGTATTGCTATTGTGCGATTGTTACTAAAGTTGATATAACTAGAGAAGTAGGCAGTCGGCAACATTCATCTTTCGAGGGGATGTCTAACTCTGTGTAACAGTGTGTTTGACCCTAACTCAGTTTTACGCAGGAATATCCCTTTAAGTCTCGGCAGTGGTGCCTAAAGTTCAGGGCCCTAGAGCGCTTCTCACTGGCTGATTAGAGGAAAGAGCGGGAACTGCACAGGTCTCGCTAGCTCAGCTACCATAGTACTGCAATATAGCAAAGTGAACTCATCCAAGGTCAAAGAGTGTCATTTCTCTTCAAAAAGTGATCCACATCAGTAAGTCTGATATTCTACGTAGAATTTATAATGTAGTTTACATATTGTTTGAATAAGAGTGGAATTTATGTAATGCGTAACTGGCTATACGCGTGTGTGTGTGTGTGGTGGACACAACCTTAGTGGGCTCCCTACAGGAGCTGTTCACTTGTCTTTGGTGCTGAAATGGCTATTTGGCTGTGGTATCTTGTGTGCTGTGGGTTTTGTATAATGATTGCTGTGTTTTGGATGTGAGTCATTTATGCCTTTGTGCTTTTATTTTTGTCATGTCGTTTCGGTCTTGAGTATTTGATATTGTTGGTGGAGCTATTGGTATGATAATATATGTCGCCAGATTGACATTGTTTGTGTGATGGCATAATTAAGCTGCAGTTCCCTTTCAGTCGATTCACTCGGTACAACACATATAGTATGGGATATCACGCCCCTGCGTGACCTGACTGAAGACACCTTTATTCACGCCTTTAAGGCAGATGATCTGTGGTGACGTCTGGGAGGCTCCGCCTGCACATATATACGTGTAACACCACAGTCATCCTTCAGTTCTTACGCTCTTCACCTTGCTGAGAACACCTACACCGAGTCGGGCTAACTAGCTGCTGCTAAATTAGCCTGGTCTTGTCTCTGGCTACTGCTTGATCGACTTTAGCTCAACTGCCCCTGTTGGTGTTAGCCTACGGCTACCCGCGGAGCGCTAATTTCGTTCAGCTTTTGAGTCTCGTTATGAGCTCTAAGCCCATGAAGGTGAAGGCGAAGTCTTCTGTTCGCCCCTGTCCTCAGGGGTGCGGCTTCTCCCTTCACGAGAAGGATCTTCACGAGGCTTGTCCCGTTTGCCTGGGGATTGTCCACGCCAGGAGGGCGTTGACTGAGCCCGAGTCGTGTGAGTCCTGTCACCGGCTTCGGAGCTCAACCCTGGGAAGGCGGGTCAAGTTTGTGGAGAAAATTCTTGGAAAAACCGCTGTTGCGCTGCACGACCCCCTCCTTTCCGAGTCCAGAGACCCGGCTTCGTCCGAGTCCGGTGGTGAGGACTTTCTGGTCGAAGGCTCAGTTGGAAGCTGGGCAGACCATGTGGAGTGTGCTGACGGGTCAGCTGGGTTTGAGCCGGGCCCCTCCGAGGGCGCTGGCCAGCCGCTATCCGGGCTAGCTTGTTACCAGGAGGACGATGACGTGCTGGACATCGGCCTGGACGTGCAGGGTTTTTCGGAAGATGAGCTGGAGCCGTTGTCTTCAGGTCAGTATGCCGCCGCTGCTGCGCCGGTTGATCTGGACGACACATCCTTCCTCTCACTGTACCGCCGTGCAGCTGAGAAACTGGAGGTAGAATGGCCCTCTCCTCCTCCAGCTCAAAAACCGTCGCGGTTCACAGGGTTTTTTCTCCCACCCGAACCGACGACTGTTAAGAACAGTTTGCCCATGTACCCGGATTTTGTCGCGGAACTAACCTCGACATGGAACAAGCCGCTGTCCACCCGCGCCACAGTGCCCGGTTGTGGACAGTTTCTGGATCTAGATGGAGCTGAAAAAGCTGGATTGGTGAACCCTCCGCCTATGGAGGCGTCCCTGGCAGCTTATCTGGCCCCGGCCCAGAATCACGGTGTCGGTGGCCCCATCACGCTCCCATCCAAGCACTGTAGATTTTCAGCGTCACAGCTGGATAAAATTTACAGGACACAGGCAAATACGGCTCGTGCACTGAGCTCCGTCACTATGCTTCAGACATATCAAGCTATGTGTCTGGCAGAACTCGGCTCGCGTATGCCTCCTGACAGTCCGCTTACTCCTCTCCTCAATGAAGCTAGGGTCGCCACAGATTACATCCTCCGTGTGTCCCGCTGTGCAGCGCTGTCTCTCGGTAGAGGCATGGCTTCCACGGTGGTGGCGCAGAGGCACCTGTGGCTGACTCTCTCCGACGTTCCGGAGAGGGACAGAGCGGTTTATCTGGACGAGCCTGTGTCGGCCAGCGGTTTGTTTGGGCAGTCCCTCGACGACATTCAAGCTAAGTTTGAGCTGAGGAAAAAACAAACCGAAGCTTTGAGAAGCATCATCCCCAGGCGTGATGCGAGGCCCAAACAACAGGGTTATCCGCACAAACCGGCACCAGCGCCTCCCCCTAAGAGGACTGCAGCGCCCGCCAGCTTGGGGCCCCAGCCGGTGAAGCGATATGTACCCGGTCAGAACCCACGCCCTTCGGCTTGGAACAAGGGTCCGCCACCGAGCTTCCGGAGGGACTCGGCGCCCAGGAAGAAGAAGCAGCAGTCATCCTAGCTTCGGGATCGACTCGAGAGGGCCAGCAGCACGGAGACACTGCCGCCCTTCATTTTCTGCCACCAAAGAGGCCGCGTTTAAAGTTCGTTCAGGGGTCCGGTCCCGAGAGGCGCTGCACTCCCTTAACACAGTCTCCCAAGCACAACCCCCCCTCACATACACATGCCCCAATAATGGCGCCTGTTGTTCACTGTGTGAATGTCACAAATGTACGTTCTTTGAATCAAATAAAGGTTTCGTTTTGTTCTCAAAACATCATGAATCAATCAAGTCTGGGCGAGAAAGTGTTGCCGTTCCCAGCCGGCACGCTAGGGGGCGACAACCCCTCCCCCACAGTACTGGAGGTCAGTCGACTGACTGTTCGTCTCTCTCGGTGGCGCGCATGCGCAGTCTCACCGTGGGTAGAGAGAACTGTTGCCATCGGCTACCGCTTACAGTTCAGGGTCCGGCCGCCTCGCTTTCACTCTGTAATACACACAGTTGTAGCAGAGGAAGCAGCAGCAGTGCTGAGGGAAGAAATAAACAACTTGTTGAACAAGAGGGCGATACGAGTTGTTCCCGCTTCGGAAACGAACAAAGGTTGGTACAGCCGCTATTTCGTTGTTCCGAAAAAAGGAGGAGGGCTCCGTCCTATCCTAGACTTGCGAGTGTTAAACAAATACCTACGAACCTACAGGTTCAAGATGCTAACACTCAGACAGCTACTGGGCGCGATCAGACCGGGAGATTGGTTTACAACTATCGATCTGACAGATGCTTACTTTCACGTAGCAATTCATCCGGACCACAGGCAGTTTCTAAGGTTTGCATTCGAGGGCATAGCCTACGAATACCTGGTGCTGCCGTTCGGCTTATCACTCGCCCCCCGAACATTCACCAAATGTGTCGAGGCGGCATTAGCTCCGCTACGGGAGAAAGGTGTTCGCATCTTAGCCTATCTGGACGATTGGGTGCTAATCGCGAGCTCCAGAGAGCGAGCAGCGGCTCAGCTGTCATTGACCCTATCGCACATCCAAACACTGGGCTTTTCAGTAAATTTACAGAAAAGTTCACTGACTCCGAGTCAACAGGTATCATTTCTCGGGCTGGAAATATGCTCCGTTTCAAGCCGAGCACGTCTGTCAGAACGCAGGGTGGCTGCGTTTCACCGCTGCCTTGCACAATTTCAGTTGGGACGCAAACTGTGTTTCCGGACGATTTTACAGCTGACAGGCATGATGGCATCTATGATCGCTGTAGTGCCGCTCGGACTGTTAAAAATGAGAGCGTTTCAACGTTGGACTCAGTCTCACCGGCTGTGCGCGCAGCGTCACCTCCAGAGGTGGCTGACGATAACTCAGTCTTGCATGTCGGCTCTTCTCCCGTGGAGAGAACCCGGTTTTCTACAACAGGGATCTCCGATAGGGAGGGTGTCTTTTCGCAAGGTGGTGTCCACAGACGCATCCCTGAGGGGTTGGGGGGCTCTGTGCGAGGGCGCAGCAGTGAGAGGTGTGTGGACGCCAGCACAATGCAAACTCCACATCAATTACCTGGAGCTACTAGCTACCCTTTTAGCTCTGAAGCACTTTCGTCCCGTTCTGACAGGCCATCATGTTCTGATCAGGACGGACAACACAACCGTGGTTTCTTACATAAACAAGCAGGGAGGGACACGCTCTCTTCCCCTGTTAAAACTGTCTCACTATCTGTTGCTATGGTGCAGTGTTCATTTTCTGTCCCTCAGAGCCACACATATTCCGGGTCACTTAAACCTTGGACCAGACCTTCTCTCCAGGGGGGGTCCTCTTGTGAGAGAGTGGAGATTGCACCCACTAGTGGTGGCTCAGATATGGGACCGCTTCGGCAAGGCAGAAGTAGATCTTTTTGCCTCCAGAGCAAATACTCATTGCCCCCTGTTCTTTTCCATAACAGACTGCAATGCTCCCCTGGGGATGGATGCGCTAGCTCACCCATGGCCCAACACGCTGCTATATGCTTTTCCCCCAGTGGAAATGATTCTGCCCATTCTGGAGAGGGTGCGCCAGCAGGGGCTCTCCCTGATCCTGGTGGCTCCTCGCTGGCCGGCGAAGTCGTGGTACGCAGAGATAATCAGTCTGCTGGTAGCGAGGCCCTGGCAGCTCCCTTTTTGCAGGGACCTCCTCTCCCAGGCGGGAGGAGAGGTGATTCACCCGCGCCCAGAACTGTGGAAACTACATGCTTACCTGTTGAAAGGTCCAACTTAATGGCTCAGGGTCTGCCCCCAAATGTGGTGGCAACAATCCAGAGTGCAAGGGCATCATCTACTAGGGGCCTATATGCCTATAAATGGCGGGCGTTTGAGCAGTGGTGTCAGGACCGAAATGTACTCCCATTTCAGAGTTCTATTGTGGATGTTTTAACATTCCTTCAGGACCTGCTGGATAAGGGTCTCTCTTTCTCAACAATTAAGGTCTATTTGGCGGCTATATCTGCATGCCATGTTGGCTTTGATGGTGTGACGCCAGGCGCTCACCCTCTTGCTATGCGCTTCCTAAAGGGAGTCCGCAGGCTAAGACCTGTTCTTAAACCCAGTGTTCCCTCATGGGATTTAGGGTTGGTGCTTGAGGCTCTTGGTGGACCCCCATTTGAGCCTATTGAGTCAGCAGACATGAAATTTCTTTCATACAAGACTGCACTGCTACTTGCTTTGACGTCTGCAAAGCGAGTGGGCGACCTTCATGCTTTGTCTGTGCATCCCTCTTGTACCCAGTTCACTCCGGATGGATCTAAGGCTACATTGCGTCCAAACGCGGCGTATTTACCTAAGATTATCCCCACAGCCTATAGCTCTATGAGTTTTGAACTGCTGAGCTTCTGCCCCCCTCCATTTGCATCTGAGGAGCAGAGGAGGTTGCATTCCTTGTGCCCTGTGCGTGCACTACGCACTTACATAGACCGCACTCAGAGTGTGCGTTTATGTGACCAGTTGTTTGTCTGTTTTGCTAATCCAGCCAAGGGCAAGGCGCTGTCTAAGCAGCGGCTTTCCCACTGGATTGTGGAGGCTATCTCCTTAGCATACGGCAGCAGGGGTCTCCCGTTGCCCCAAGGTGTGAAGGCACATTCAACCAGGGGAATGGCGGCCTCTTGGGCCTTGTTTAAAGGGGTTTCTGTGAGTGATATCTGCACTGCAGCCAGTTGGTCATCACCGCACACTTTTGTTCGGTTTTACCGTTTGGATGTGACAGCACCTTCGGTGGCTCACGCTGTCCTTTCTGCTGGGTCTACAATGCACTAAAAGTTTTGGAGGTTTGACTTCGGTTCGGTGGCTGCTCTGCGGGGCGTGTATATATGTCCCATACTATATGTGTTGTACCGAGTGAATCGACTGAAAGGGAACGAAATGTTATGAATATAACTTCTGTTCCCTGAAGGAGAGGAACGAGGTACAACACTGGGTTGCCCCGCTGCGCGGCAGAGCTCGGTGAAGAGCGGCTATCGAACTGAAGGATGACTGTGGTGTTACACGTATATATGTGCAGGCGGAGCCTCCCAGACGTCACCACAGATCATCTGCCTTAAAGGCGTGAATAAAGGTGTCTTCAGTCAGGTCACGCAGGGGCGTGATATCCCATACTATATGTGTTGTACCTCGTTCCTCTCCTTCAGGGAACAGAAGTTATATTCATAACATTTCGTTTTGTCATCACAGGTGCTGTGGTCACCTCTCCCACTTGCTACTGTATTTTTGTTGTGAGGGTATGAGAGTAATATCTAGTATATCTAGATTGCATTCTGAGATTTTCCTGTATAACCCCACCAGAATTTCCAGACCAAAATCACGACTGGATACTAGTGCTTAAATGTGTGATTTACCCATGTAGTTACAGTTCTGATGTCTTTATCCTGTTAAATCTGTTTTCACAGTGTATTCATGAGGGGTGGGGTGGAGGGGGTTCTATACAAACCACCATATATTTATATATCTATATTTTATCTATTTAAATAATCTTCTTTTCCTTTCAGAGTAAACCTACTAACCCATGTATGTTGAGTGTGAATACAAAGAGTGTTACATAAAATGTTTCTGTATTATGCAATGTCATTTATGCTGTCTTTTGTCATGTGTCCATTCTGTGTGCTCATCAGGCAATGACTGTGATTTTACTTGTTCAGCAGCCAGAGTTACAGAGGTCAACAAGGGTAACCCATCTGAGAACTGTGCTGCAAATACTGAAAACACATGTGCGGGTCAAAACCAAATGCAATGTGAGAGAAACATTGAGACTAAAAAACGTTATTCAAAAAGCTTGAACATTTCCCTTGATACTGTTTAAATTAAATGAAAACAAAACCAGAGCACCTTTTTTTATTTGCTTTAGGTTTTCATTCATGAAATAGTTTTGGAAGTCTCCAAAACATTTTGTGAAGATATGTTACAACCTCAAGAAGTAATTTACTATATTATAAATAGAATAACTAAAGATCTAGGTGGGCACATTAGTTAATCTGTTCAATTATTGACAGTAGGGCCTAACAGTGGTGGACTCTTCTTTTTTTCTGACTTTTGCACACACAGTGAGCTTCGATGAGAAAATTTGTCAAAAGAAAGCAACAGAACTTTATAACTTTGGATTCACTTCCGTAAAGATGACAGTGAAGCAGAGTTAATCGGAGCTAACGCTGATGGCGGCTATTAGCTCATCCTTAGGCAAGTACAGGGTTCATCAGTTACCACGGATAAGGGCTCTGTTTGGGAAGATGGAGACGCTGTGCAATATTACTAACACCAACTCCAATCAAGTCGTGGAACATTGAGTAAAACATAAATGAAAACAGAATACAATGGTTTGCAAATCATTTTCGAGCTAAATCCATCGAAGAAACTACAAATGCAAGATATTTAATGTTCAAAATGATAAACTTGTCCTTTTGCAAATATTCACTCAGTTTGAATTTGATGCTGCAACAAAAAAGGGAGTATATCATTACAAAAGCAATAATCCTAACACCCTCTGTTACCTGCTCCTCATCTCTGCTCAAGGCCGACCATGATAATGTCACAGCCTCTGTCTGAATGCGCTGCACTTTAATTTCAATGTATGTGGTTTAAGCACCAGTTTCTCACAAAAATAGAAGAATAGGTAACACAACGATGACATTTCTAGTTCTGTTGTGCTGATATGAATATTTTTTGTTCTGTTCATCATGAGTTCAAAATGTCATGGACGCTCAGCGCACTCTTTTCTTTTTCACATTGGCAGAATTTAAATTTCAACAGAGTGCTTACATTAATGGCATTTCTGGATTTATTAAAATAAAGGTTGCACCCTTAACCCACAGTCTTGTTGTTCTTTTATTGAGTGTCAAATGTACGCATTAAATTTGCAGCCCTTTGGTCGCAAAGATCCCTTTCTTTTCAGCCCCTGTGCACCTCCCAACAATCCATGTCTCATATCTACAGGATGCTTTTTTATGCCTCTCTGACATTAGGACACCTCTGTGCAAACACCAGCACTCCTGAGGGCCTTGTCTCACCTTATCTAAAAGGTTGCCTCTACAGTGTGTCTGCTTTTTCATGGCCAGTAGTTTTTAACACACTCATAAAACAACATATGATATCTCTCCCAGAAGACACGCTCGGTAAATGAACAGTGGCAGCTGAGAGACTGGGTGAAAGCAGTCATGCTAATAAATGTAAAAGAGATGAATGGTTGATTTTTGCTGCTCCTCTCTTCACAGAGAAACGATAAGAGTGAAATTAGGGCTGTTTGAGTTGATGTTGTTGCGGGCCAGCTGCAGCAACACTCAGATTATGCAAATGTGTTTAATGCCTCATCCTCCAAATAAATAGTTGCCGCCAATATTTTCTCCCAACTGCCGTTGAGATGTGCTCAGAGCCGCAGCTCCACTTTACACCACAGACTCCAGCTGACTGCAGTGAAGAGGATTTTCCCTGTAGCATGTTGAAAAATGAGAAACACTGTCCTGAATAGCATAATGGCCATAAACAGAGGCCTGCAACTGAAGTTCTGATGAACACATTAACTGCTTCATAAATGAGCCGACTTTATTTGGGCCCTATTAGACACATCAGCGTCATGATTTAGATGGAGTGAAACTCTTTGTAGCATAATGAGATCCCCATACAATGGCCTGCTTTGCATCTGCACTGTTCCAGTCAATATAAAATATGGAGGCCCTCATCACAGAATGAGAGCTAATTGCTGTAGAGTAAAATGTGATCTTTTACGCTTCTATGAAAGACATTTTCAGGCCTCGTATTATTTTGTGTAAAAGGGGTAAAAAAAAGTCAATTAAAGACGGTTTTGGAGCTTTAAAACATTAAAATAATTATAAAGAAATGACTATAACACTCTTGGGCAGGAGGAAATTGGAAAATTATTGTGTGTTTTATGGTGGAGCTGCCGAGGCTGGCAGGTAAAATGAGCTGCAGCACGGGCAGTTTTTGATAAAAGAGCCGTTTTCAAACCAAAACCTGCGCCTATCAGGTTTAATGTGAACCAATTAACTACAATGTGGCATTCAGAGAGGCACTTACACCTTACCTGCACACATTTGTTTCACATTGCCCCTGGTTTTATTTTTCATTAAAATCCAGGTGGAGTTAAACAGTACTTTAACATTTAAACACATTTTATACAGCAAGCAATTTCATGTCCCACTGACAGTAGCGAAAAATACGCACATTTTAATGAAGTCCTATTTACCTGATTAATGCTCACAAAACATTTTTTTTTTTAAGAGAAAAAGATCATTGCTTACAACAGCTGGTAGGATAGGAACACTTGTCTAAGTGTGTGTATTGATTTTGGAGGGAAAGTAAGAATTTTAAGGCATCATTCCTGTCTTTGAAGTGGGGTTATACAAGGTACTTATCAATGCTAATAGTATTATGTACAGTAGATCACAGTCAGCACTGCTCTGTTTTGGAGAGGCTGGAGGTCCTACACAGCAGGTAGCTACAAAAGTTAAAAAAATGTGGAGCTGTGGGCACAATAAACAAACTTTGTCTACTTCATTAAGTCAGGCATTAAACATTTCAGTTCAAATATTTTTCCTGCTAAAAGAGATATTTGATGCTTAACAGTGGAGTAGTATAAGGTACTTACATGACCAAAATACTACAGAGGGAGAAGGGTTTTGCAGGGACATTAGATATCGCAAAAATTCTCATTGGAATGAGAATTTTGTAGACTTCCTTAAAATTGGTGTTTTAATGTGCAGCTTTGGCCCCTCAGCAGCACTTGACAGCTGCTTCTCCTCTCAGTTTCTCTACAGAGGAGTGAAGCACTTTCTGTAGCCTGCTGACCTCTCAGAGAGCAACATTACGGTCATGTCTAATCTACATTAATGCAGAAACTTCTGTGTAAAGCACCAACCACTATTACTATTACTACTACGCTAAAAGTCCTTATAGAAACTATTATAATTGTGATCTATACTTTTGACTCATTATGTCTCGGGAACACCAGATAGAGTAGTCAAATAAGATACTTGACCACAAATTTAAGTGGTAGGTTATGGAGAAAACTAATGACATCAAACAAGTCTCAAATGTGAAAACATTTTCAACATTTGTCAAAAGCTCTTATTGCGCAGTGTGAACAGCAGTAGATTCACTGTCCGATGTCAGGCATACCTGATGGCATTTATCTAAGCCCCAATCTTGAAGGAAATCCCTCATGTGGAGCCTCGTTCAGTAACGAGCTGCTCAGAAATGTCATCTTCACCATCTTCAGCCATGTTTGTTTATTATTCTGCTCCATGTGGGCTATGGCTACAAGTCCATTGCTGGCACTTAAGTCATCTACTTGCATTTATCGTATTTATCATGAGATGGCAAATATTTATCATGGAGGATCTTTCTGACGATATATTGTGAACGATAATTTATTGCCCTTCCCTAGGTAGCACAACCACTTAGGGCAGTTTTGGGGCTTGGGATCTTGGGCAATTCAGCATGTTGATATAGGGACCTGGGATCCAACTGTTGTTCTTCTGACTGGGGAAGAAATCAACTGTACCACAGAGCCACAGCTTAGATGGGGTCCACGCTACAAGACAATCATGCCAATTTTGAGCCTGATCCCCCTTGATGACAAAAATCAGCTAAAGATTGATCATTGGGTGTCCCTAAAGATTGCCTTGGCTTATTATCTTGTGGTGTGAGGTGTTTTAAGTGTGATTTTTCTTCCCTCCCAACTGTGCATAACAGGCTCAGGGCCTTGTCGACTTGTGATCGTATATATTAAGCATGTTCAATATTTTCGATCAGACATCCTTACATGTGGGGGGTTCCCTTAGGATCCACTGTCACATGTGACACACCAACATCCTTCTAACTGAAGACAGAAACACAATTGCAACCGTGGCAACAGTAGTAAATGTGTAGCATAAACTAGACAGGTGTCAGAACCCACTTGTTGATCTTTTTAAATGATTTGTTTGGTAGATCAAAACACAATCAAAATGACAAAGGATGGCCTTAAAAAGAAGTTTCTACTGAAATGCTTAGCTCTCATAGGCTGGCATGTTTGTTCACCACATTGTTGCAAACCACACACCACAGGAACAAAACGGTTTACTTTGTCTTTGTGTGGTTTTCAAATGAAGTCAAGATTTTTAAAATCTTAAGTCTGTGACAGGCTTCAACAAGTTGCAGAGTTACATCCAACAGCAGTCTTCTCTTGGTGACACACTTACCACTGATGAGCACTGAACACAACCCTGCTTTAAACACCCCTGCTTTTTTATTTTACTGTTCAATAGAAGTTTTGTCTTCAGGGGGAGAATATCTGGTACTGAAAAGAAATGTAATAAACACGGCATTATTAAGATTTTCCCTTCCATGGACTGCAGCCTTTACTACCCTTCATTTAAAGCAGTTTATGTAATTTCCTGCTATGAATGAGTGTTTATTACTTTTCCAAATAATTCACTTTGAAATAAACTCCTCTAACGACGCCCCAGCCCTGAACTCTTCATCGTCTGACTCTGAGGCTCCTTTATGAGATGCACATAGAGGAGCCTGGTCTCTGCACACACTGCTGCTCGCTTCACAGAGATGAATGTGGAGAAATTGGAAGTGACAACGACCTCCCAGACAGAGAGCATGTTGAATAGGATTTTATAGTGCATTGCCTCCGTGTGCCACTTCCACAGATTCTTGGGTGAGCAATATTGGAGTGACGTGTGTGGACGACTCTTTGTTTTGATTTTGAACATGCTCCTATTAATTATATATCAAATTCAATTATTCAAGCTTTTAAGAGGACAACTCTCACTGTCTTCAAACAGCGCTCTTCTGAAGCTTATTTGTGCTAGTGAGCTGCAAGACGATTGAAAACATATTTAAAACAGGGAAAACTGAAGAAACAGACTTTCATGTGAAAGAACAGGACGTGAATCACCAGGAGAAACATAACTGCCCTTCTTCCTCCACATAACCAATGATTTTCTTTAACTGTGGGAGGATGAGGTCTGATATGCAAGGTCATGAATAAAGCAGTTAATAATGTGCACCTAACATTTTAACATAAAAGCTATCTTTAGAAGACGAGGCATTGGCTGTGGGCTATGTTGAAATAGCCTGCAACAGTTAACAGCTGCACTTCAAAGGTGGAGCAGGTTGTGGGCATGGCTTAAATTTGACTTGTGCTTACAAGAAGAGACAAGCAGGGATGTTTTGGATGTGGGTCTTTCACCCTCAATCACTTCCAATATGGTAATCCAGAAATATATCCATAATTCAGCTCTAAAAATTGCATTTTTATTAAAAAAAGGGATTCAGGAAACTTGATCTGACATGGTGCAGCCTTACCAACTAAATCAGAGACAGAACAGCACTATAGGGGGAAACTACATCACCATGAATGCACAAGGCCTATTGTCCTCTAAGCCACTCTTAGACAGGCCTTATTTGGCCTTATTGAGCAGGTTTTAACCATAGATAGACGCCATAAGTATCTGCCTGTTTGAAGACCAAGGGATTTAGAGCCCCCCCTGCTGACTGGTTGCAGTATAGACTAACTACCAGGTTGTGCCTGCACATGACTTGGCCTCACCTGAGTAGTAGTAGGCCCCTGTGGAGGCTTTTTTATGTTTCAAAACTCACGACTCACCAAATTTTCTATTTTCATACAATCATCCTTTGGGCAAGTAGAGTCTACAGATAGGGTGAACACCAAGAAGTAACGTCCAGTCTTTTAAATTAAGGAGTACTACAAACTGCAGTTCCCCCAGTGTCCACTTGAGGCTGAATGCAGAAGTCATGAGTATGTTTACAGCCTGTTTAAAATCAAGAAATTAATTAATCAGTTAATGAATAAACAATTTGATTAAATCTCTTTGCTTCACTAGGCACATGTTGAGCAAGGATGAAACGTTTTTTTATATAATGCATTTATTTAGAAGATATCAGGGTTACATGTTTGGCTTATTAGAGGTTTGTAAGCCGTTATGATGGGTCAGCATTTGCAGCCACATCTAAAAGATTTCAAAACTGCATTTAAGAAACAAATGGGTGATATCACAGAGACTGTGTCCAAGTTTTGTACAGTCTATGGTGAAAAGACAATTGTATGCCTTTTGTACACTGTTCAAATTTAGTCTTAGATGTTGAATCTACTGTTTGATTTCTGTAATGTATTTTATAGATACAAACTGATGAGTCAAAGGAGGATACATACTCTGAACTCATGAATGGATAAACTTAGAACATATAGTGTTGTGCTTTTCTTTTGACCTGTCAGAGCGCTTTAAACACCATGGGGCTCTTTACATGGAAACAAGAGGAAACAGCAAGTAAGTGTAGCATTTTGTTCATTCCTTTACACAGAGAAAAGGGGCTAAACAAGGACTACATTTACCGTGTACTTAATCGCACACATTCATACACACCGATGGCAGAGTCTGCAGTCAAATAGTAATATGATCACTAGTATGGATCTGACACATTCCCACCCCACTGGTCCTGACCTCAGGGGGGAAACTGGAGGCAGTGGCTTGCCCCAGTACACTTCATGTACATACCAGGAGCCAGGGATCAAACCCACCACTCCAGAGTCACAGCTGTGCAACTAATGGATCTCATTTCAGCTTAAAGGAAATCATTTTGTTTATATCTCAGTTCATGCTGGAAATTTGTCAACCGTGCAGACATCCATGACTTGGACCCTGTATGCAAACATTTTTGTTCCATAAACTGATAGCTGCGTTCTTGTTGCACACAAACAGTAGTGCTCCCACTCATAATGAATTTGTTTTCCTCTGACTTTATCTTTTATTTGGACAGGACTTGAGATGCTAAAAAATTTCTGGCTTGTGGTACGGGGTTCATCTAGGATACCAGAAGACTGGGACACTGTTGCAGCTATCTTCTTTCACAAGTGCGTCACCTCAGTCCTGCACAAACCAAAAACTGAAGCTTGAGACATCAACAAGCTCTCCATCATGTGCACTCTATTTGATGGGCACTCTTTTAAATACCTGCAGAATTGCACACTGATACACATGCACACACTCTCACATACAACTAAGGGGTATTTTCCACATCTTCAAGCATAACCTACGGTGTCATTGGCCATGCTGCCCCTTATTAATAAAGACTGAATTATCCATTATACACATGGTACAGCATAAAGCCATGGGATCCTCAAGCAAAAGTAATCAGCCAATCTTTCTATAATTTACATTCCACAGGGGTGTTAGTTATCTTTAAACCCAGTCTGATCTTGTTGGAGTGTTTGAGTATCCAGAAGTTTAAATAATCAATGAAGTTACACAGCTGTGCCATGTATGTAAATGTATGACTCTGTTAATCTGTAAAGTCTATAAAGTTTGTGCTGTGTAGAGGAGTTATTTAAGTGGATATAACATGACATTGGCAGTCATACCCACAGTCCAACAGTCACTGACATAACCAAAACACTGACCTATCTGCATTTACTGCATGATTATTGGCCCTAGGAGGAGAGTTAAACATGGCAGCAAGAGCCCAGAGTATTTAAGTGGAGAGGCTGAAATCTACTTTGTAAACAGCATCACGCATGCCTGCAGGAGATCCTGGTTCCTAATGGGGATGAAAGCAGACACTCTGTTTGCTTTGATTCACGTTACACACAAACATCTTTGAATAATCAAGGGGCTTAATCCCACCTCTTTGGCCCCTGCGCCACAGTAAGTGTGCTGATTGTGCGCTGCTTAGATAGCAAATGCAGTAAGACACGCTTTGCACCATGCATACAAGCTCTGTCAGAGCATGTAAAAGTTGAATTAATAAGAGAAATAAGTGCAAGTTCAATCCATCCCTAAACACAAAAACAATGAAGTCACTTGTCTCAAATCCTTGACAGGATGACCCCCTGCACCACCTCATCCCCCATCCTGGGAACCACTAGGGTGAAGAGCTTTGTCTTAAATCGCAGACATTTCACTTAAATACCAGAGCACTTAAAGTATAAAACCAGCAGAGATAATTATTTTCTACTTTATAAATGATTTCCTGTCAAAATCAACAGGGGAGCAGTGTAGAAACAGCTGTCAGCGGCCTGCAGCAGTATCTCACTTTGTTGTTCAAACTGCATTATGTGTGCTGCACAGAACAGGCCAGAGAGGAGGGTAAGGTTTATTTATGACTATTCTGCTCATGCAGGTAAGCAGTGACTGACATCCCTCAGGTGTTTTAAGTTTCAAACCTGCACTCTGCAGTCACCTGAAGGCCCTTACCTTTTAGCCAATCACATGCTTGTATAGCATGTCCAAATTGGTCATCTAGGAGATGGCGCCTCAGGGAAATCACCTCAAAATTATCCACAATGACTCCATGCCTTCTTGGCTTCCCATGTGCATCTGCTAGACCAAATTTAATGCAGGCACAGTCAATTTTGGGGTCAAAGGAAACTCAGGGTGAAGTAGACTTCTGCACCAAAAGTGGTGCTAAGTTTCAGCATGTCTCCACCTTTAACATGATAAAGATCTGGCCTATATTTAAGACCCCTCAAGCAACATAATAGATCCCTTAGGAATCAAAATTATACAGTTCCAGATTTGTGCACATTGAACTTTATCACCCCTGACAAACTCTTTCTCTTGAACATGAGGAAAGTCTGTGAGGTTAGTCTTACTAATGAGCAAGGCCAGTGTTTGGAAATATTGAAGGTGATTTATTTATCTATTTTTTGTACCAAATGTTGTAAGTTTTTATGCAGAACCAGAGCATGTCACCTTTAGTCAATTATCAGAATAAGGTTTAACAAGAATTTTCAAAACTTAAAAATATGAAGTTGAAATAAAATCAAACACACGGCCAAGAAAAATAGACTCTTTTGTTGTGGAAAAAACAACTTTAACCATTTTTGTAAAATCTAACATTTCCCATTTACAATAGATCTTTCAATAGAAACTGACTGTACATGTTTAAATTTATAATAATCAGGTTTACAAGGAACAGAAAAGTGTTTGGCCTTATCTCAAAGATAACCCCTACATATTCACCTTTTGACACTGTTTCTAAAGACATTGTGGGGGCTTTTGTGGTCTCAGCTTTAGTGACCCCCTTGGATGTAATCTGTAGTATAACGCTGGTGTAAACATTACATTTTGTTCAAAGCTATTTTTCTCTATTACCGAGTAGTCGTGCTTGAAAATCTCTATCTCAAACAACACTTCTGCAGAAAACACCACGCAACGACAAAATAACCAGAAATGAAGGTACAAATTATAAGTGAATGATCTTGTATTATACAGAGTATTCAGGAGAGTGTTTTAAGTTTAAGTATTTTAGTGCAAACCAGCTGGCTGGAAGTGCAGTCACTCATCCACGGGATGTAGTCATGCTCCATGTCTCCTTGAGCTCATTTTGGGGAGCAATACAAACAGCCGCCACAAACAAAATGGACCTGAAGACTGAGAACCTGTTAGAGGACATGCAAAGAAATTCCCAGCCTGGCAAAGCTGGGACACCAGTATCTCTTTATACCAGCAACATTGGTGCCTTCAGAGCATGTTTTCTGCTGCTGTTTAGGCTCTTGATGAACATCTGACCATGTGGACATCCTTATTTTTTTTCAACTCAAGCAAGTAAGCAGAAAACTGTGACTCTAAAATATCTTCTGCTCCTTTTTCTTGTTGCTGCATTTCCACATTTAGAAGTTTGAGCCTTACTCTAAATAACTATGTCTGCAGAGATTATCTTTATGAGCCTGCGCCACATGTTGATGTTCAGCTTGTTGAACAAATACGCCTGTTTAAATTCTGCAGCTCTGCACTGCCCTCAGTTATACTCATCAGGTTGCTGTAAAAAGGTTGCTGTTTCTGTCTTTCTTTTTAACCAGCAGTTGCTAATAGATTGTTAACATACTGCTTGGGTTTGCACTGTTGTTTTCGGTTCTTCAGCTGTGGGTTCTTGTGTTGTCGAGGTAATACTGGTTGGGATTTTGGTCTTGGTTTCTTGTTTCCTGCTCAGTCTACTTTCTTGAGTTCTTTGGTATCTTGACTTTATTCCAATGATTTTTTTTTGCATGCATGTCAAAGCACTTTACAAAACAGTTTTTAATAATAATAAGAGTAATTTTTACCATATCTCCAGGGTTTGAATGTGTAGAAAGCTTGAGTCCCCATTGTTAGATGTGACATATTGGATATGTCTGGACTGTTTTGTGGTCGTGTGAAACTCATCCATCATGTCTGTGGTTACCCTGTTGATGCACAGCGATCTCTTTGATTCTTTTCTCAACACCAATTTGACATCATATCAATCTTCACTGTGTGTCAGTTACACTTGAGGCACAACACAGTGTCCCTCTCCAGAGAAAGGGATCTGTTTGTTGCATTTATTCAAATACCGGATCAAATGTCCCGTGATAGAAATATAATCTTGCTATCCTCTTGGTCTTTTTCATGCCCAATAGATCTGTATGCAGAGCTGACAGCCCAGATTCGTTCTAGCTGGCGCAGTAACATATTTTGGAGTGTCCACCTAACTCAGACGACTCAATCGCAGCATGCCGGCTCTGCTCCATTGCCTCATCTCATATCTCATCCCAACCAGCCCCTCCACTGCGTTTTTTTTCTCCCTCTGCTAGTTTTCTCATTACATTCCTGGCACTCTGAGGGAAATAATACAGAGTTTTTTTCTATTGGACTTGGTGGAAAAATGCATTTCCTTTCATCTAGCCCTATATGTGTGTGCAGAATCCACATCCAGCGTCTGTCCTATCAGGATGTGTATGCAGCCCCCTCTCCCACTCTTCAGCCTCCTTAAATAGGCTATTTTCTCCTCTAATGTTGTTTCCCCTCTTCTCTTCTCTCCTATTGATTGGACAAGCTCGTTGGATCAATAGATTGCTGTAGATCAGAGCGATTGCAGCTCGGGCGGGCTACCATCTCCCAGCATTCAACACGGTCTCCCTATAAACCACTCAGAGGGGCTCTCATTTCTGCGCCAAGGTTATGAAATAAAGGGCTGATAAAAGTTGACGCTGAAGCTTGTTTGTTTTGACCGATGAATAGGTTAACCGCTCTGGCATTGTAGCAACCCTTCCGCCAGCGCTCCGGGTCTCACCTCATTGTGGAGCAAATTACCTTGAATCTATGGTCTCTTTATTGCACTCACAAATCCTGAAAGTTGTTAGTGCCACAGGGCTGGAGAACAGAAGGGAAGATTGTATACTAATGGCCCCATGATGCTGGTGTTTTCTTTTTGATTCACTTGAGATATCAGGCCATCAATCAAAAGGCTGTGCTATTAGACCACAAGTGCTTTCTTACAATTGTTTTACCTTCTTCGCCTTTATTTCACTCTT